TTTTCTTAGACTTAATCTTATTGCCACTTAAATTCATACTCTATTTTTATGTAATTCCTTTTCTGCTTTTTAGTAACTCATTCCCTAAATAGTCTACAGTGCTTTTTGCTCTGTATGGCCTAAACTCAGTTCTGCCTGGGACTGGGTCGGAGGATTGCTTTTAAACAAGTAGGATCATAATGAAACTAATGGTTATTCTGTTTTCTTTAAAAACAAATACTGTTATTTAATAAATCTTTAAAATTTGTTATTGTGCTTTGTTCTTAATTCTTTTTGAGTTGGTTGTATATGGCTATGGCCTTCCTATGTGATCTCATTTGTTAAGTCTTTCTGCAGTATTATCTCGATCTTCATAGCAACTCTGCATGAGAGGCAATCTTAATTATGATACAGATAAGTCAGCTGAGACTCAGAGCAGTGTAAATTATTTGCTCAAAAGTAAGAGTTAAGTAAGCAGTGCAGTAGGAATTTTAACCCGTTACTTCCAGACTTCAAGAAATCACACTGTACTTCACTGTCTTTCTACCGAAGAATAATATAAAACTAGGTGTTCCATAGTTAACCTTATGTGTGAGGAGTAGCAGGAAGGATTTTATTTCCTACCCACTTTTGCCTTTTTCGGGAAAAAAATTGACTCCCAAGTTCTGTGGGTGAGACTTGTTCCATTTGGTTTGGATTTTATTCTTTTTTCCTCCCATAATTTATGTTACGGGTTTGGGAAATCAGTGCCATGTAGTCAAATAATTATGCATCTGTTCATTATATCAGAATCCATGAGAACTTGAGAGCATATAAAAACTGTTTAAAAAGGTTTTCCACACTTAAAAGCTTATGCTAGAATGTGTTCTGATTAAATCTTATAATTGATCAAGGTCATGTGATATGCTTAATATGTACATTCTTTAGAAAGACTCTTATTTTGAGGAGGAACTGAAGATGAGGAAGGAATGCTGAATCTCTGACAATGTGTTCTAAGAGTAATTTTGAGGCTATTTTGGGATAAGATCTTGGAGGCTCTTCTGGCAGCTTTGTATAGCCTTGAATAGAGCTGCTACTACTTTGTGTAACCAGGGAGTGGGATTTTGGGGCTCTTAGCCCCCAGCCTTTCCTTTTTTTCCCAGTCTCCCTCCTTATGGATTTCTAAAAATAGGAAGACCTGGGGCAAAACAAAAGGAGGATGGAGGTGAGGAGAGGTCAGAATTCAAGGAATTTTACCATCTAGTTTTTTTCTCATTCCTTTACTCTTACTGTTGATCTTTGCTATCTTGATTGGTTGCTAAAAATGAAGCCTGGCCTCTTTTGTTCTAATTCCATGTTGGAGGACTTTCCACAGTGGGGTGCTTCATTATTGCCTCTTGAGATTTTTTTTTTTTTTTGAGATTTTATTTATTTGAGAGAGGAAGAGAGAGCTTGAGCGCAAGAGAGCACACACACACTGCGGGTAGGGAGGGGCAGAGAGAGAGGGAGAAGCAGACGGAGCCCAATGCGGGGCTCGATCCCAGAGACCCAAGCTGAAGGCAGACAATCAACTGAGCCACCCAGGTGCCCCTCTTCTTGAGGATTTTTAATGCTCTAAAAATGTTTTACTTTGAACCTAAAGAACATTTTGCTGAAAGTAGTTTATAGCATTTCAGTTTCTCATTTGCCCTTGCATTGCCACGATTAAAACAAAGCAAAAAAACTAGTCTCTAATTAAAGTACTAAAGGCATTACTTTAAATGGCTGTGGGTTTAACACAGTTTGCAAAAGTGTTTAATTTTTTATCTGCATCTTAGGATTATTTCAGTATATGACGGGGAAATCTCTTTCAGTATGTGCCCTATAGGCTGTAGAATGAAATGGTGTAAGGTGTAGGATTTTTCTTTTTTAAAGATTTTATTTATTCATTTGAGACACAGAGATAAGAGAGCATGAGCAGGGAGAGGCAGAGGGAGAAGGAGAGAGGCAGGCTCCCTGCTGAGCCAGGAGCCCAATGTGGGGCTTGATCCCAGGACCCTGGGATCATGACTGGAGCCTAAGGCAGATGCTTAACCATTTGAGCCACCCAGGCGCCCTGGTATAGGATTTTTCTTAAGTGAAGGCAGTGTAAATACAGTATTCTCATTGCTCTTCATATCTGAAACTTTAGATATAGCAGTGTTCTAAAACTTCGACTGTACATGCCTATTCAAAATGTTGAAAATATATTACTAATATATAAAATTACACATGGTATTGTCAGTTTCTTTTATTGAGTGTTAACTATTTTTGGCTAAAAGTAAGTTTATAAATAGAAGTTAGATTCTTTCTTCCCATGCCTGAATGGATCGTTTTGTTTTCCTCCTGTGATGTGCACATCCTGCTTTGAATAACACTGCTTTAATGTTAAAGATGCAATTCTGATAGTTTATTCCTTGTTCTTTGTAACATCAAATAGATTCATAATTTAGCAAGTATTTATTGAACATCTGTGGTGCCAGGCACTGTTCCAAACGCTGAGGATATAGCAGTAAATAAAACAGGCACAAATCTCCTTTTATGGCGCTTCCATTCTGAACAAAATAAGTGAGATATGTAATATGTTAGTAGTGCTGTGGAGATAAAATTAGGGGAACGGGGATAGTAAGGGTGTGGGATAGGGTGGAAATGGGCTTTTGCAGTTTCAATTATTGAGGCCTTACTGAGAAAACACATTTGAATGAAGATCTTAGGAGCTCTGAGGGAGCAAACCAGATAGAAATTTCAGGGGGAAAAAAGCGAGGGCAAAGCTTTTGAGGGAGGAGTATGCCTGGCAGGTTGGAAAATTACCAAGCCGCTAATCTGGCTGGAGCAAAGTGCCAGGGTGTGAGTATTGGGGGAAACATAGCTGAAGATGAGTTAAGAATAGCCAGAGTGAGGGGATCATATAAAGCCTCTTCTTGGGGGGCCATTATAAGGACTTTGAAAGGTCCATTAAACACAGACCCAGGAGGGAGTGGGGAACAAGGTCAGCAGCAAGAAGAACTAAGTTAGGCTATTGCAGTATGCCAGCCGAGAGCTGATCGTGGCTTGGATTAGAAGTGTAGCCACAGGGTGGTAAGAAGCAGTCCAGTAGATTTTGAAATTCAAGCAAACAAAATATGCCAACCAGGTTAGATATGGTGGGGTATGAAGGAAAAGATTTCATCAGTTGGAAGGATGGCTTGATGGTGAAGAAGGCTTTGAGGGAAGAGCAGGTTGAAGGTGGGGGAAGTCATGCAAAGTTTGGGATGCTTATTAAGATACTCAAGAGGAGCTGTTGAACAGGTGATTATGGTTAAAAGAGGCGTGATATAGGGGAGAGATCTATGCTGTATATGAATTTGGGGAGACATACACAGGGTGTATTTAGTATTTAGATTCATTGGATAATATGGGATCACTCTGGAAGAGTGTAGATAAGCCCTAGGACAAAGCCTTGGCGCACTTCAGTGTTGGGGAGTTAGGGAGGGAACCAGCAAGGAGGTTGCAAGCCAGACAAGTAGAAGAGAATCAGGAGAGCTTGGCTACAGGAAGCTGGGTGGTGTTTGGCAAGGAGGGCAGACCAGCTGGGTAAGATGTTACATTTAGGTCAAATAAGATGAAGATTAAACATTGGCCATTTAATTTAACTGTGTGGGACTCACTGGTGACCTCAACAGACAGGTTAGTGGATAGACCCTGATTGGAGAGTTGTGTTCAAGATAGGAGGGAGGAGGAAAATTGGAGACAATCAAGTATAGATTACTTTGAAAGAGCAGCAAAGCAGTGGGGCATTAGCTGGTGGGGTGGGGGGAGAGTGAGGTCAAGGTTATTTTCTCCTCTTACTGGGAGAAATTATAGCAAATTTGTACAGTTTGGGGAAAGATCCAATGAAGGGGGGGAACTGATGATTCAGGAGAGTTTCGAAAGCGATGCTAGGGCAATGTCCGTGGACAGGTGAGAAGGAGATGAGATCTAGTGCTTTATTTTTTTTATTTTTTATTTTTTTAAAGATTTTATTTATTTGACAGAAAGAGAGACAGCGAGAGAGGGAACACAAGCAGGGGGAGTGGGAGAGGGAGAAGCAGGCTTCCCGCTGAGCAGGGAGCCCGATGCGGGGCTCGATCCCAGGACCCTGAGATCATGACCCGAGCCGAAGGCAGACGCTCAACGACTGAGCCACCCAGGCGCCCTGAGATCTAGTGCTTTAGAGAAGAGGTCAGTCTTAGCCAAGAGTGATGGCCATTTCCTCCACAGTGACAGGAGGACAGGCAAAGCACGTGGGTACACAGTTGAAGGTGGGTGTACAAATGCTACAGTGGGAAGCATGTCTGTTTTCTCGTGAAATAAAAAGCAGAGTCATCAGCCAAAAGTGAGGGTGAGGATAGAGACTGGAGGTTTGAAGAGAGAGGGAAGAGTGTTATAGTTATTTAGGAGAGAGGGAGAAAGATGGGAAAGAGAACCTAATGATTGTTGGAGAGCAGCATTAAAGTGTTTGGTGTCAAGGTTGTATATAGTTCTCTAGCCCTGTTTAGGTGCCTAGGCACTTGGCCCTCCCTCCTACATTCAGATTTTCAGTGACTTTTAGAACTAATTTTACTTTTTAAAAAATTAATTAATTAGAAAACTTTATTTTCAAGTAATCTCCACAAACGTGCAGCTGGAACTCACAACACTAAGACCAAGGGTTGCATGCTCTGCTAACTGAGCCAGCCAGGCGCCCCTAATTTTACTTTTTAAAGGTTTTGGTAGAGTTTAAACAGAGTAAGTTGCCTTTTCCTATGTGATAATCCCAGTGTTCTTTTCTTTTTTCTCTTCTCTATCCCCTCCTCTCTCCTCACTTCTCTCCTTAGTATAAAATCAGTTTCATTAGCCTAATTTTTATTATCAGCATATTTTCAGACATTTGTAGTTGCAGTGTATGTCATCAGTATTCACTTGCAGTTGCATTCAGGTGATTGGGATTATGTAAATAATCTTTTAAGTTGGTGTTTAGCAAAGTGACATTTGTTTCATAAATGTATCATGTTTTTCTGTTGTAGGAAACCCAGCGTTTGCTGGCAGAACCAGTTCCTGGCATTAAAGCAGAACCAGATGAGAGCAACGCCCGTTATTTTCATGTGGTCATTGCTGGCCCCCAGGATTCCCCCTTTGAGGGAGGGACTTTTAAGCTTGAACTATTCCTACCAGAAGAATACCCGATGGCAGCCCCTAAAGTACGTTTCATGACCAAAATTTATCATCCTAATGTAGACAAGTTGGGAAGAATATGTTTAGATATTTTGAAAGGTAAGTGTTACCTTTATTAATATATGCTATTAAGATTTCTCCTTTTTCTCTTAAGCATTCCATATTGAGAATTTGAACATTGTAATCTTGCCTTATATAAAGACCACAAAGGTCTGTGGGAATGCAATGCAGGAGTTCTGGGGCTGTTGTTTCATGCTGGTCATTCTGGGCCTGTTGCCTTCATAGATAAGTGGTCCCCAGCACTGCAGATCCGCACAGTTCTGCTATCGATCCAGGCTTTGTTAAGTGCTCCCAATCCAGATGATCCATTAGCAAATGATGTAGCGGAGCAGTGGAAGACCAACGAAGCCCAAGCCATAGAAACAGGTATTTAATATCCATTCTCCTTTATACCACTTCCACTTTTTAAAACAAACATATACTACCTTTATAATTTTTATTTATTTATTTATTTATTTTTTAAAGATTTTATTTATTCGTTTGAGATAGAGAGAGCATGAGCAGGGGGAGAAGGCAGGCAGAGGGAGAAGGAGAAGCAGGCTCCCTGCTGAGCCAGGAGCCCAATGTGGGTCTCAATCCCAGCACCCTGGGATCATGACACAAGCTGAAGGCAGATGCTTAACCATCTGAGCCACTCAGGCGCCCTATACTACCTTTTTAAAAAACTTTTTTTCGAGTCTCAACAAAAAGAAAAAATATATTAAGAGGAATAAGTCAGATCCTGTTTCTAATATGTAAACACCTCTTAACAACAGATGTTTAAGTTCCAACCTAGGGCCTGCTTCATAACCCCCAGATGTAAAGACAACCTATAATTGGGAGCTCTTCAACTCTTCTATAACCTGTACTACCTGGTTTATCAAATATTTGGTGTGTACCATTCATTTAGCAGTACATGAATATACTAGAAAACTTTTGAACTCTTTTGAGCTGCTTTTGTAATTCATCTGATCAATAAAACTATGTCAGTTTATAGCTAGGGAGTTTGAGATCAGTAGGATTCTTCTTGTTACAGATTTTAACAAAATTAGTGGAGAGCATGTCTAGAAATGAAGGAGACAAAAGGAGACAACTCTTTTCATCCTGCTGAATTTTGTGAACTTCTGGATTCCGTTGTAGTGTTTTGGTAATTAGATATGCACACAGTCTTTCTGTCTGATCCAGATGATAGAAAATGGCATGAATTTAACAGAATACTGCTTTATTTTTACAGAGTTTGGAGAGTAACGTATTGAACTAAGTAAAATAATAATTGCACGTTTGTTTTTGTCTACAGCTAGAGCATGGACTAGGCTATATGCCATGAATAATATTTAAAATCGATCTGATCATCAAGTTCTCCTGTTCTCCTGTTCTGCCAAGACTTCTTCCTTTTTTGTTTGCATTTAATGGACACAGTCTTAGAAACATTACAGAATAAAAGCCCAGACATCTTCAGTCCTTTGGTGATTAAATGCACATTAGCAAACCTATGTCTTGTCCTGATTCACTGTTGTAAAGCATGAGCAGAGGCTAGAAGTACCATCCGGATTGTTGTGAAACGTTTAAAAGCAGTGGCCCTTCTCTGCTTTTATTCATTTCCCCATCATGGTTTGAGTATAAAGCACTGTGAATGAAGGTAGTTGTCAGGGTTAGCTGCAGGGGTGTGGGTGTTTTTCTTTATTACTTTTTTTGAGGGGGAGAGGTAGTTTTATTTTAATTTTTTGGGCTCCTTTCCCCCCTTTTATGGTGATCTAATTGCATTGGTTAAAAGCAGCTAACCAGTTCTTTAGAATATGCTCTCTAGCCAAGTCTAACTTTATTTAGACGCTGTAGATGGACAAGCTTGATTGTTTGAACCAAAATGGGAACATTAAACAAACATCACAGCCCTCACTAATACCATTGTGACTTGCTGTCAAGTGTAGAATCCTTCCTTCAAGAAAAAGCTTGTGACCATTTTGTATGGCTTGTCTGGAAACTTCTGTAAATCTTATGTTTTAGTAAAATATTTTTTGTTATTCTACTTTGCCTTTGTACAGTTTATTTTACTGTGTTTATTTCATTTTCCCAATGTGACAATCGTATTTAAAAATTAAAACTGATGGAACATTCTCTTTTGGTCTTCACCATCTGACAAGTTGATCCGGCAGGAGGTGGATTTTGCCAGTTTCTTTTCCCTGATGCAAACTTGTGTTAAGATGTCACTGAACGGAGTATTTATAAGCTGGCCCTGAGCATGCATAAAGCATTGGTATTTGATATTTTTTTTACCTCCTAGAAATTTGAATAAATGTGTTTGTGTTGTCTGATTAGATGATCATAGGTGTCTTGCCATGATGTTTGAAACTTACTGTACAGGAGAGTCACAGCAAAGCGGCAGTTGTGACTGTGTAGGACTCACATGTTGTGCCACATTTGTTTGTGTCTGGCATTTGGGATATGACCTTTTTCTTAGTTCTTGTCTGGAAACTTCCTGTATAACCACTGGTATGTGCTACTAGGAAACACCAATCTGATAATCATTTGGGGTTGCTGAGGCATTTATGAGGCTTCCTTATAGACCTGATGAGCAGATCTCAAGCAGCCACCTTGCGTAAGTGTCATCTGAAAGGTTTCTTCCTTTGAGAGTATCAGATCCTCAGTAATGATTCTTTCATCCTTCAGTATTTGCTATGGGAGCTCCTGTTGTGATATTCAGTAATTTTTTTCTGCATTGACAGAGTTGCTCCCCTCAAAAAACTGTTCTTTCCCACCCTTCTCCATATCGAATTCCCTATCCTTGTTCTTTGTAAGTCATCAGTGTAGCCAGTCCTGAGTATGTAAATGTTAACCCGCAGGTTGGAACCTTTGTCTCTCACAATTTAAGGTAATGGATATTGTAGCCCGTCTGAATTTGCCCCACTCTTGATTCTCATAACTTCTGGAGTTTCTTCAGAATGTGGTGTATTTTACTGTGCTCCTATGTAAGATGAAGAATTATCTATTAAAATTACATTTTCAACATACGAAAGTTTTTGATGACTGGTAACTGGTATCCTTCCAAATAAATGCATTGCTTGGAAACAAATGTTAGTTTAATTCAGAATAAAATTGTTCGTAACCTTAACGTTGTAAATTTAAAGCTCTTAAGAGCAGTTGACATTTATAACAATTCTTGTGCTGTAGAGGGTGTTTTGCAATTAAGGAAACTGAATTGCATTCTGGGGCCAAAATGAACACAAGCAGTTCTGTAGAGATGAGCTTTATTTAGTGCAGGTGGCAGTACTCGTGATGATAGCTAGTATCACATAGTGATTTATAAGTCCTAAAATTCCAGATTTAAATTCATTGTACCACAAAATATGTCTAGAATAGGACTCATGTCTACTGATTTGAATTCTAGAAGTCCTGAAGTGGAATAATTCACTGTTTTTGTTTCAAATATATGAATTCCTGATTTTATGGCATTCTGTTTTTTCCTTTGTAATTTTGTTAAGAGCCCCCATTGTTTTGATGACTCTTTCACCACCAGTGGGATGAAATGAGCCAGTTTGGTGATTGAACTTGTTTAGGATTAAAGGAGCTCTGGGAGAGGCCACGATAGATTTCAAAAACTGGCAGCTATCTCTGGCTTTTGGGCCTTTTCCTTGGCCCACACAGTGTGGTTGGTTAAAACATTCTGAATTCAGTGCCAACCTTTTAAAAAATCAGGAGATTCACATGACAAAAAAATCCCAAATTCTGGTAACTTGAATGATGTGAAGATCTGGCAACTGCAGCCATGCCCAGCGATTGTGCATAGCACCCTTCACCTTCCGGGAGGAAGCAGCCTCCAGATAAGAGTGCATCTCTCCTCGTTCAGGGACTCTGCTTGGCTCGAGTCCCCTTCCAGGCCCGCTTGCTCCTTTATGTAGTCCTCTTCCCTTGTAGGTCTTTGATTTTGTAACTCCTAAGCTTAAGGGAACAGTGAATTTGACAAAAGTATTCTATGTACCCAACACTACCACTTGGGGATGATTAAGTGAATGAGATTGGCATGCGGCTTTTCCTGTGGCCCTAATGGGGGAGGGGCACAGACAAACTGCAGTTGCAACTCTGTCCTGGAGAAGGGAAGGAAGTACTTGGGAAGGGCTGCTCTTCTGGATTCCAGCCAGATGAACACCTCTAAGCTGGAGGAACACCATGTGCAAAGCCCTGGGGGAGAGGAAAAGAATCCGAATATCTAAGTGGCTTCTTGAGAATCTCTTCTGCCCATTAGGAGCTTCTCTGAAATCTGAGGCATTGACAGGAGCTTTATAAAGTTACTTGATTTTCTGTTTTGTTGTTTGTTTTGATTTGTTTCCACACTAGTTACTATTCTTGGTTCTGCCTCATAAGGTCGTAGGTCCGCAGTGTGTAGAACTTAAACCCTGCTCTAGACCAAGAACATACTTTAATACAAAATTTAGAAAGCATTTAAAAATAAGCTTAAATACAAACTTACTTAAACAAGCCACAGGTGCTGTGGTTTAGCACTGTTCAAGGAGAGTACTGGAGGAAATCTAGTATCCTGCAAGACACCATAAACATAACATTAGCGAGATGGAACTGTTGGTGTCCTAGGAATGAGAGAAATTGTCTTTATTTTTCTATTTGATGGTTCAGGAATCTTTTTTTTTTTTGGTGGGGGGGGCTATTCTAGCCATATCACTGTTTGTTAGTTGCAGTAGCAAAGGTTTTAAAAAGTTAGCCTTATTTGGAAAAGCTGGCCAAAAAACAAATAATTAAATGCCATGATTATGGGGCAGCTAATTTATCAGTCGATTTAAGAAAAATGTAATATCTCATTGGAATAATTATTTTTGGGCTGGGGTAACATTTAGCTATTTGGCATGCTGCTTAGGTTTAAGGAATTATATCAGGGGTTTATTTTTTAAATGATTTAATGATCACAAAAGCAAAACATGTTGAATGTAATAACTTGAAAGAAATATGAAGAATAAAAATCTGTAATCTTCCACCCAGCCTGGTGATACTTTGTTTCCTTAACTATATGCCCCCTGTGTTAATTTCCATTTCTTCTTGATGTTGGAAATTGGGAGGATTTGTTCCAAGGGTTAGCTTTGGTACAGCTTTTTTACAAATTGGGTAAGTTCTCATTGGCAGCAAAACTAGGAGTTGGGCTACGGGTTTTTCCTTTTAGGTGTAGAACTTCACATGAAGAGTGCCTGTCCTCCTTCCTCTCCCCAGTTAACATCTTTGCCATACTTCAGTTGGTCTCATTTCATCTGTGCCTGTTGATGTGGCATTTGAGTTATGTGGATGTAGAGTGCTACACAGCCAAGCCTCTACTGGACTTGATAAAATTGTTTCAGTTTGATTTGGTTGTAGAAGCAGAATAATTGCCTGAATATTTCCACCTTGCTTATTGTCTCCTAGCAGAGTAACAACTGAAATCTCATCATTTAAAATACATTTTGTGGTGCTCATTAAGGAGCTTTTTACATTTTTCCTCTGCTAATCGTTTGTATCTATGGGACAAAACAGGTCTTAGAAAGATTGATACCTTCACCTCATTTGTAGAGAATATCTAGCAGGTTTCCTTTTTTACATACTCTGATCCATTCTCACCCACCATATGACTCTCTTCTGAAATAGTTCCATAATCTAGATTAGTAAATCCCAATTAAATCTCATTATAATCTAGCAAGTTTACAAAGTATTCTGGCTGAAATTCATGAGTAGACTAAAGACTCGTCAAAAGCAGTTTAGGTAAGGTAGGTTGGTTGCACAAGATTTGAACTTGGTGCTGTTTCTTTGTTTTGGGAGGAAGCATTAGGACTGTGAGTAACTAAGGGAATGAATAGGGCCAAAGTCTTACAATCTTTTTTTTTTCCTTCTAAAACAGTAAATATTTGGGGCTCTGTGGTCCATGGGTCTGTCCACGTTACTTGCCTCTGCCATTGTTGGTGAGAAAGCATCCATAGACAATTTCAAATGGTTGGACATGTAGTGCTATGATAAAAGTTTAATTTTCACAGGTCACAAAATATTTTCAACCACTGAAAATGTAAAAAAAAAATGTTCTAAGTTTGTGAGCTGTACAAAGACAGGTGGGGTCTAAGGTTTGTCCTGTAGGCTGTTACCCACCCCCTTGGCTGCTATTATTCACTGCTCTTGTATTAGAACCAAATGTGTTTCTCCTCCCCGCTCCTTTAAAAAGTGATACATTACTGTTATTACAATAACAAAGATGGTGTAGGTTTCCTTTTCCCCCTTTGCTGTTTATACATACGTATTTTGATAGTACGCACAGATTGAGCATTTATCAAGCCCAGTTTTCACGTGAGATTATTGAACATTTTCACACTGAAAATTTCTTGGAAAATTAATTTTAAAATTATACAGGTTTTTAAAGAAAATAAATCCAGATTCCTTTTTTAAAAAGTGACCTTTAGTAGGTAACACTCTATAGTTCTTTTTAAAACGTGTTATCAAAGTTTACACTTGGTGGCATCACATTTGGTATCCGTTATCTATTGATAATTTAATCCCAGGTGCAACATTTAAATTGATGCCAGTTTTACAAAGTCTGCAATAAACATCTTTAACCGTATTTTGATTGTACAACTTGTCTAAGTATTTCAGTTGACTAGATTCCCAGAGGTGCAGCTGTAAAATTTTGCTTAGTACTTAGTCGTTGTCCAAAAGGCCATATTGATTTACATGCACAGATCCTTACCTGACTTGAATGTTATTTGTCTGTGTAATCTTTACAAGGATATACTTGTTGACCATTACCCCTTTAGGTGTGCGCATATTACTTCCCTGTCTCACTTTAGTTGCCTAATTTTGGTATATAAATCTTTGTCCACATTCCTGGAGAGGGTTTGAGATTCCTAGTGTAATACTTTGATCAAAACGTATGTTTTTAAGGTTCTGAATACACATTCTGATCAAAAGGTACATGGTTTAAGGTTCTGGATACACATTAATGGTCAGAGTCGTCTTTTAATTTCATTTAAGGAATGCATTTGATTAAAAATTGAGAAAGTTACAAAACTGGCCTTGGTGTTTTAAGAACCAGGAAATGTGATGTCCAGAAGGTAGTCAGTATTCCACATACTGGCAAGAATAACTTTGGGGATAATTAGTTGCAATCACGGCAAAGTAGAGGAATTTAAGGCTGGTTTCTGGCAAAAAGACAATTGAGCCTTTGGATAAGTTTGGGTCTTTGCTATAATGCAATGCCAAGAGAGGCCCTTAGGGCCTTCTCACCTTACTGCTAGAATTCAGCCAATGGCACTAGTCAGGAAGACATAAAAACAGGGAGGAAAGTAGCACCAGAGATGAGATGACTTTTCAACCTGAATTTTGTTCTACAGCTCCATATAAAATGTTGCTAAATATTTGGGGGGAGGGGCACGTTTTAAAATGTTGCTTTTGAAGATGGTACATGTTAAGTCTAAAAAAATTTAAGTTGTAACACCTTGGAATCCCAGGGCCCTGAGATCACAACCTGAGCTGAAATCATGCTTAACCGACCGAGCCATACAGGTGCCCTTAGACTGTAACAGTCTTGTGGGCAGAAACTTATTCTGTGCTGTGAGCAACAATGCTGGGCATAAAGCAGATTATTGTGCAGCTTCTGGTACACATTAGAGATTTATGAAACAAAGGGTTAGCTGGAAACTTCATCTGAGACAGAATCCAACTACATGACAGCATTCCTGTTATAACCCAGTTTCAATAAAAGGAATGTTTAGTCCTGTCACTTGTCTACAAAGTTCAGCTTAAAGGAACCTGCAGAGAATTCTTGTATTCCAGTGTTAAGACAGCACTGGGAAATGCCATGCTTTTTGTTTTCCTCCAATTTAAGCTAAATGAGATTGAATGGAACTTTGGTGAGGATTCTTCATGGTCTTCGGTAAGCACTATTTTGGGGAAATAAGTATTTTGGTGGGCAAGGTAACTAGCCAGTTACCCTTTTAAATACAGCTGTAGTAAAATGATAGTAATTATCAGCAAAGTACGTAATTACAGAATAGTCTAGAAGAGTTCTTGAAAATCATTAAAGATAAAACCCATTTGGGGAGCAGAAAGCAATAAAGATACAGCCATAGTGGGACGGACACCATGAGACTGGTTGGTATTTAATAGAAAATATCCATTTGGGAGAGTAATGGCAGCACTTTACTGGTGGACAACTAGTTAATAACACTAGTAAGGATCATAAGTGGAAAGTATAAATATATATAAATATACTCTCATATAAGTATATGAGATTATGTATATGACCTATGGGAGAGGAGTAAATTTTTACTGTGGAATGCCAGACAAGTTTTCCACTTGGATGATGTTCAGTTACGGTAAAAAAAAAAATTTATTTCCATTTTTATTTGGTTTCCAAATATAAAAAGTCAAGATTCTTACACCAATTATCTCAAATGAGACCATGCAAAGCAATTTAGAGTGTATACAACAATCATCCCCCCTTTCAGTTTTGCTGCTTTATACAACTGTTTGACAGAAAATTGAATGGCATGTGACAGAAAATTTCACCTTGTTTATTAAAAAAAATACACACACACACACACACACACAAACCCCCCCAACAACAAATATTCAGGATAGTTTGCTACTTTGTGTCTACAAGTCAACTTAACCTATATATTTAGGAGGCACATGGGACTGAAAACTTTAGCTGCCCAATTTTATCCATCTACCCCACAGAAAGCAGAAATGAGTCCCAACACTCTGTAAACTTTGGAGGGTTGAGATAGTAGACACTATTATCTATAGTAGATTCAACTGTTGAGCCTGAAAATGAAGGCTTTTTCTCCTTAACAGAAATCTCCTTATGGCCTTTCCTCTAATTTTGCTAGACTAGGTTCCAGAAGAATAGTGAAGAATCCCTTGTGTGAAATTCAAAGTGTGACAGCTGTATTCTGTTGCATCATACAAATTTTTGCTAGTTGCATAGACTAAAGACAGTTGGTTTGCTAAATGGCACTGAAGAAAATCCTGACCCGAGTGGCACTACTTAGTCCAAATGTTCTTGACCAAAAGAAATTATACAACAATATTTATAGGCTCACTTTTAAGAGATGGCTGACAATACTGTACATATTTTACATGTCAAATACATAGTCCAAGAGTTTATAAAATAAGTTCATGCATTATTACCTCTAAGAATATCATATACAAGATACCCCCCTCCCCCGGTACTTTGACAGCATTTCAGGTGGACATTTTTATATACAAAATCCAGTTTCTCTGCTGTGTTAAGGTATATAAAGAAACTTAAGAGATTACTGAGAAACAACAAAATCTTAAGTCCACTGAAGATTCAAAGTGTCAATCTGTGGATTTAAAATGTTTCTTTTTAAAAAACACGCAGGATGCATAACCTCTGTACAAAGAATACAAAAATTCTGGATGATCATGTTTGATCATACTACATAATTTAGAATGAAATGTCATTGGTTAAGTTTTTCTACTTTACTCATTCCTCTTGACAGCATTAATTTGTGAATATTTATATTTAGTTCAGCTGCATTTATGGCACAAGATCTTTTTCAAAACAGTGGCACCGATTTTCCTTAAGTGTAACAGCACTCTTTAGCAGCCATTATATTTTTAAAGGTTAACAATTTGTAGAATGTACAACTATACTTACTTTCTACTCTATACTCACCAGTTACAATATTTACAAGGCTAATACCTACATAATGATCTTTCACTCTCTCCCCACCGCATGTCTTATTCAAAGGTTTTTGTCTGAGTTGTTTGGGAAAGTACAGGAGTTTCAGACAAGGTACCTGTGTGTGTCTCAATGGGATTCTTGATTCCAAGTGAGTATAAAGACAAGACAAAATAATTCTTAGTTCAGGTATATTCCAGTGCCCCAACAGTTAGTTATAGGATAAATAGTACTTATTGGCAACGTGTAAAAGATGATGAGACATTCTCAGGTGTCCTAATAATCTAAGTCTGGAACAGCCGAACAGCAAGAAGGCCACTGCAGTCACCACTGACTACCATTTGAGGTTAGACTCTAATCCTGTGGTCACTACTGGTAACCAGTAAGTTTAACTAAAGAGGGGTCAGTAAATTCAAAAACTGGAAATATATCTTTTAAAAGGAATTTACCTTGAGAGAATTATGGTTCTCCAGTATTCCGTGTAAAGAGATTATGGATAAAGGGAATTGGCGATTTAGCATGCTAACTCAAATCCCATGAATACAGTTTTTCATGTATTTACTATGTGCGTCTTTCTTACAATACCTCTAAAAATCACCAACTGTATATAAACCGTGTTAAAGGACTAGTGAGTTATAGGGGGTAACTGGCCATATCAGGTAGCTAGTGACATACCAGTTGTGAAAATTCAAGACAAATGAGTTGACAAATTCCTGAAAATACCAAAAAGTCCTTTGTCAAAATAGTTATTGGACCATACAGAAATAGTCCAAATCTGGAATTTAGAAATTAAAACTATGATCCTATGGAACAAGCTTTCAGATCAAACAGATTTAAGAATTATTTTCGTAAATTTCTACAACAGAATTTGTTGACTATGTTAATGCTGTGATGAGAAAATAATTTAGAAGATATACCCATAAGTAAGCTGATCTGACAAGAAATCACAGACTGATGTCAAATGGACAAAAAACTGAACAAAATGCTATGAAAAAAATGAACTAAAATGGGGATGGGGTGGGTTGGGGGCAGAGTTAAGGCATCTAAAAAAAATTCCACATGGCTTTGGCTTATTAAAATATTTTACAATTTTTTTTTAGAGAAGATTTGAAAACATCTGAAAAACATGCAAATTGTTTGAAAATCCTGCATCGCAAATTCAGTTTGCAAGAGTCATTCAGATGTTTGCCAAGGAAAATAAAAGAGACCTCTCCCCACAAGACTGCACTTGGGAGGTCCTCCCAG